CATGTGGGCATGGCGGGGAGTCGAACCTGTGACTTGCGGGTCCCAAAGCCGGCTGCTCTACCACTATACCACAGCCACCCAGGTGACTTTACAAGTCACCGGGTCCGCTTGAGTTTCCTGAGTCCACGTCAGCTGCAGCCGAACTCGCCCTCCATGCCTCCGGTAGTCCCGCTTCCAGAGCTCTCCTCACCAGCTGCAGTCCCAGAGCCCGAGCCAGCACCAGAGCATCCAGAGGCAGAGCCAGTGCTTCCAGAGCCTCGGCCCATGTCGATATCTGCTCCTGAGCCCATGCTGTCCTCTGCGACTCMTGTATCTCCAGAGATTCAGCTCCTCTGCGGCCGTGCTCCGGACTGTCCTCCAGAGCTCCATCCTTGTCACGTCGGGGCTCCAAGCCGTTCTCCTGAGCTCCACCTCCACTGCAGCTGGACCCGCAGCCGACCTCCTGAGCTCCACCTCCACTGCGACCGGACCCGCAGCCGACCTCCTGAGCTCCACCTCCACTGCAGCCGGACCCCTGGCTGACCTCCAGAGCTCCTCCTTCTCTGCAGCTGGGCCTACAGTCAACCTCCTAAGCTCCATTCTCACCCCGGGCCCCCCACCAGAACTGCCACTCCCTTCAGATGTGCCTAGAGCCATCGTTGACTGTCTTGCTTTGTTTTTTCTCACAGGGGTTCCCTGTCAGTTATTGGTTTATATTTTTTTCTATTTGCTCCTCTTGTCTTGTTTGTGTCTTGTGTCMCTGTTGTCTTTGTCTCGTGCCCACCATCCTGTGCTGTTGTACCCGCATTCGCCCTCCTGTGTCGGCGTTCTAGTCGGTCATCTGGAGATGATCCATTGGGGGGAGGTACTGTGGAGATCTGTGGTTTTGTGTCCTGTGTTGTACCTCCCTCTTGTGTTCCCTCATTGTCACCACATCCTTATCTCCTCAGCTGTCTACCTGTCATTTCCTCCTCTGTCACTCTCACCTGTTAGTCTTCAGTAATCAGTTCTTCCTCAGCTGTTGTTCATCATCTTCTCTCT